TTCAGCGTGTTAGTTGTGGAGTCTGTTTTGATCTTTTTTGTATGTACTTTCGTCCGATAAATCTACGCATGTGTGAGTAACGATCCAAGAGCAAATCTTATCCGACACTATTCTGATGATATCCCGGACGTCAGTCTAAGCGAGATTGGAATGGCTCTCCAGCACCTTAAAAACGGCAGGGCCCCAGGCGAGGATGGAATTACAGCGGAGCTTCTGAAAGCGGGTGGAACACCGGTACTTGAAGTCCTTCAGAAGCTCTTCAATTCCGTCCTCCATGGTGGCACTACTCCAGAGGCGTGGAGCAGAAGTGCGGTGGTCTCGTTCTTTAAGAAAGGCGACAACGCTCTCTTGAAGAACTACAGACCGATTTCCCTTCTGAGCCGCGTCTACGTGCTGTTTTCGAGAGTCATTACGAATCGTCTCTCACGCAGACTCGACGACTTCCAGCCTCCCGAACAAGCCGGTTTCCGAAAAGGCTTCAGTACCATAGACCACATACATACCCTGCGGCAGATTGTACAGAAGACTGAAGAGTACAATTTGCCACTTTGCCTGGCGTATGTGGACTATGAGAAAGCTTTTTGAATCCGTCGAAATTTGGGGGGTGCTGCAGTCCCTTCAGCGGTGCCAAGTTGACTCGGTATATCGAAGTACTGAAGTGTTTGTACAGTAGGGCTGCGATGGCTATCCGAGTACGGTACCAGAGCTCGAAACCTATCCAACTGCAGAGAGGTGTAAGACAGGGTGACGTTATATCCCCGAAACTCTTCACCACTGCTTTGGAAGACGTTTTCAAGCTACTGGACTGGAAAGGATACGGTATTAACATAAATGGCGAGTACATCACTCACCTTCGATTTGCCGACGATATAGTCCTTATGGCAGAATCGCTGGAGGACTTAAGCACTATGCTCAATGACCTCAATAGTGCCTCCCAATGGATAGGTCTTAAGATGAACATGGACAAAACAAAGATCATGTTTAATGTCCATGTCACACCTATGCCGGTAGTTGTTGGGAGCACTATGCTCGAAGTTGTTGACGAGTACGTTTACCTGGGACAAATAGTCCGACTAGGTAAGTCCAACTTCGACCGAGAGGTCAATCGACGGATTCAACTCGGCTGGGCAGCGTTCGGGAAATTACGACACATCTTCTCGTCAGGTATACCTCAATCTCTGAAAACTAAAGTGTACAACCAGTGCGTGTTGCCAGTGATGACTTACGGATCAGAGACGTGGTCCTTCACTGCTGGCCGTATGAGGACGCTCAGGGTCGCTCAGCGAGCTATGGAAGAGGGCTATGCTCAGAGTTTCTCTGCGTGATAGACTCAGAAATGAGGATATCCGCAGGAAAACTAAAGTGACCGACATAGCCCAACGGATTAGTAAGCTGAAGTGGCAATGGGCCGGCCATATAGCTCGAAGAACCGATAACCGATGGGGAAGAAAGGTTCTCGAGTGGCAGCTTCGTACCGGTAGGCGTAGTGTAGGGCGACCCCCCACTAGATGGAGTGACGACCTGGTAAGATATGCAGGAAGTCGATGGATGCAGGTGGCTCAGGACCGTGCTTTGTGGCATTACTTGGGGGAGGCCTATGTTCAGCAGTGGACTTGTGAAGGGCTGTGATGATGATGATGATGATGATTACAGAAGGCTCTGGTAGGCTTCGCAAAAGCACGTTCTGGAACCACTCTTTAAATGTAGTAGCATTCATTTCATCGTGGTAGTCATTTGTGGTTTTTTATTGAAATACCAGTAACGCGTTCTCCACAAAGCCGTATTTTGCAGAACCTGCGTGGCATATTATCAGACGGGCCCCCTTACCCATTGGTACATTGGTACTTTCGACGTCGATGCTTGTGTATCATCCGTCCAAGAATGGGAAACCGAGTGATTGGCGTTTAGCCATGTCTCGTCAATGAACACGACATTATCCCAGCTATCAATATTTTTTTGCTTCTCTCAAAAAACTTATCCGTTTTAAAATTATGTCGTATCGTTCTAATAAAATTTTTCTTTTGTCTATTTTTTTATACAAAAAACCAATATCTTTTAAGATTTTGGTTAAAGCAGTTTTACCCCCGCTAAACAGTCCAGCTTCTCTTAACGATGCCAAAAGCTTCTTCCTGTTGAGATATTCATTTCTGGAATAGTAACCATATATATGATTTCTGATTGCATCGGCGTCAAAGGTGTCAATATCTGTCACGGTTTAGTTCTACGTTTCTTCTCCGGAGTAGGTAAAATATTATCTTCCGTGCCAGTAGAGCCGAACTTTTCTTTATTAATATTTGTTATCGTTCGTTTGCTAACTCCAAGGGCCTGAGAAACGCGTTCTTGTACTTGTTCGATAGGTAACAGGGGTCCGCCATTTTGCCGCTCCCACTCAAAGTAATCTTGCAGCTTGATGATTAACTCACGGGCTCCACTTTTCAATGTTTGTCCACGTTTAGGCATTATTATGCACTAAAAGTAAAAAAGTCGAAGTCCGATTTAGCGCCGATGTCAGTTTGAAAAGCAGAAACAGTCCATTAAACGAAAGCCGGGTAATCAAATAAAATCGAAACAGATCGAAAACACTTGAAGAACGTGGTCTATGCGCACGAAATGACAACAGACGACTGTTTTAGCGTCACAAAATGGCGGCCCATAACGCCATTTGGGGTTACCATTTTCAACCTAAATATAAAAATGCTACTTTCTTTCGCGCGTTCGGTTTGGTCGTAGTTTTATTTTTATATTTAATAAAAGTTATCTTATAGTCCATTATTTTCTAATTCTTAAAAAAGAAAAACAAAACGTATTATTTTATAAAGTATAACTGTATAAGAACAGATTACGATATTGTTATTTCCTGTTATTGTTAGCACAGCACTACAAATATAAAGCGCTGATATAACCTTGTAATAGCGCAGTATAGATTTAGAAAAATGTTGTTTACCAAGTTATTTGACACGCAAAATTATAACATTCATTGATTATTGATGTAATAATGTTGTGTTAATGCTCATCAATTGTTAAAACGGTAAACAACCAGCAAAATATTTTTATCGTAACTGCAACGCCATTACAAAGTTACGTCGTCAGTTTAATCGCGACGTGTTAGGAACGCATTCTCTGAACGGCCGAACTATACTATAACCGATAACTGCACGTTGCGCCCGCGACTCGTATGTATCGGCCGTCGATCCTCTTGCTGTCTCGCTTCCATTCGCAGCTGCTTGGTAGTAATTATCTTTCAATAATATGTCTTATAGTTTATTTTTTTTTAATAATGATATATCAATATTAATATAGTGGTTTAGCATCAATTTGCTTTAGTATATTAAATTTACGTCAACAAATGTTTGACAGGTCTCCTCATTCAGCTGAGTTTTGATCAATTCACAATTTATCTTAAAATTACAGTTAGCGTAAATATTTAATATGGCTTCCAAATAACTAAACAAGCTAGCAAACTTAGTTTTGCAGCGTATGTTAAAAATATTGGAAGCCTGACATGTGTTTCAACACAACATGCTTGGTTAATTTATTTTTAGTTATTTCCATGCCATGGTGTCATACGGAATCATGCTAACTGATCTTTGTCTTAAAGACAAAAGCCATTAGATCAATTTATAATCTAAGTTCCGACATAGGTTCACATAGAGGAGTCCCATTGAGAAAATAATAGAGCTCTGCGATACCTGATTTGACAGTGACGCATTTTAAGTTCGGCGCTTCATGATTTTACTGTTGATATTCATTCGTACTGGATACATAAAAGATAAACATTAGAGTTAAGATAAAAGGGCCGCGAGAACGCACTTTTTGTCGGAATGGTTGCGTCGGGATTAATTCGTTATGTTACAAATAATCTACTTAGCTCGAATTTTAAAAACTTCGTCGATTACACCACTAATTACATCAAAATCATTTGATCCGTTCAAAAGTTATCATTGACAAAAAATTTAAAAAGTGTTTTTTAATAACTTCAAAATATTTTCTCGGATCGTTTTTGATTTAATGAGTTACGAGTAGCTATTACTTCGTAAAAATATTTTTCGAGAGTTTTAAGATCGAACATAGCGGGAAAGTCCGGAGTTGGCCTGTAGGGTCAATCTTTTTTTAGGCTTTTTAATTTTTGATGCATAACTTTTTAATGAAGACAATAAAATTTTAATTTTTAATTTTTTCAAAATTTAAACGAAGTCAATACGAGGTTACAAGTTGTTTATGAAAAATATAGACTCACATCTCGAACCGCTGTACATAGGAGTATGAAATTGTGACCGTATAAATGATTTTTATTACGCAGGCATTCACTAAGCAAGGATTTTAAAAATTCAAACATACTAAGGGTAAAATAAAGTGTTACAGATTGTACACATTTTTTATTTGTATTCATTTTACGAAAAAAATAATAATTTGTACATTGTGTGTAACTTGAAAATTGGTACAATTACTTTTAGATCAAATTAATGAAATAATATGTTATTTTTTATTTATTTACTTATATATTATTTTTTATACTTATAAAGTTTTGTATTTATTTACAAAACTCACATCAGAAATAGCTTAGAAGTGATCACCACATTTCCTGGGGTTATTTTATAAACCATGTAGATAAATTAATATATTATAACAACCCTTTTAATGATGTTTTAGGTTTGTTTTTAAATTAGTACTTAGTAAAAGCCTTGCATATGTTTGAATGGACTGTTGTGTAGTATACCTACATATTTCATATTACATTTTTCCATAAAAGACGATCAAAAACTATTTCATTTTCAGAATCATTCTTGACAAAATCTAATACATATAGTAAAACATTGGTGTCGAAGTTTTCTTTTATTTTCGTTTTCATTTCATTTTTCCGTTTCTTTACTGTTTGTCCTAGTACTACTGTTTTTGTTGCATAAGAAGCATTTGGTGCAATGGGTTCAATTATACTTTCACCAAGTTTGCCTAGAGCACCTCCTTGCCAACCCATTTTCTCATTCATCATTCTCTCTGCTTTAAGTCATATTAACAGGCCGAGACAGCATTTTATTTAATTCCTTTTCCACCTTATTCGGCCTTCTGTGGCTAATTTGGTTCTCATCAAAGCTAGAATCTAGTGTCTCTGCCTCCCCTGCTTTCTTCCAATGTTGTATATCCCATTCCAATCCATAATGTTGTTTTAATTTGTTATTACTGTCAAATAAATCTGGATCCTCATATAAAAACTCTCTCAGAATTATCCTCCTGCCTTTACTATCTCTATTTTCTGCTTCTATATCAGGTTCACATTCTGTAGGTATTACAGTTGCTGTCGAGGGCGATTCTTCAAATCCACATGCATTATATTCTAAATATTTGAATGATGGGAAATTCCATGCATTATATTTATTTCGATGATATTTAAATTTTTTATGATTTACACGTATATCCATTTGATGATAAAATAATTAAAGTATGGAGTATGGAGTGTAGTGGAGTGTAGCAAAGGTACTCTGTGGAGTGTAGACTGTAGAAGATGGAGAGTGTAGAAGTAAGGAGTTCATCTCCATGAATGAATTACTGAATCTGTGAAGTCGAATAATTGGTATCATTAGTTTGTGTTTGTTCCTGGTGTTTACCGCGAGTAAATCAGTTTTTTTCTTGTTAAAACTAAATAATTATTATTTTAGGAACAAACGTTAAATTTTGATAAATATGCTGTGAGGCCAAAGTTAATTTTATATTTATTTCTTAATTATTTTTTTTTCTCTGAGATCTATAGATCTTTCGGTTTTAGGTTAAAATAGCTCCCACGATATATGACGGCAGCAACATCTCCACTGTTGTGCTTCAGTATGAAGGATTTAGTGAGCCAGTATGATTCAAGGTTGTGAGATTAGTTATCAGAGGTGACAACGAATCTGTAACCTCAGTTTGAAGTTGGTTGCAGGGTTTATATGGGTTACCGTCCACCACCATTTAACTTCAGTAAGACTCTGAGCTCATTTGTCACTTTAATTTTATAAAAGAAACGGTTGGCACTACGGTGTGTTTCATGCGTACAGGCAAGCGCAGTATTTTGCGTTATATGAAGTGACAACCAGATTCGATAGGCAGTTAATCAATGGGTTCAGGTGGCTTAGGATCGCACTTTATGGTAATGGTAACAGTCTATGTTCAGCAGATGATTTAGAATGAGCTGTAATTTAAAAAAAATATGTGTCCTTAAAAACTAATCAAAAACGATTTAGAGCATTCAACTTAATGAAAGTCTCATCACATCTAGTTTTAGTTCAGATTGTTATTTTTTTATACCGCGTATAAAAAAATAACAATCTGTAACTTTGTCAATATTAAAATTCTCGCAAATTTTTAAATAAAGCAATAATTTAAATATTTTAGAAAAAAACTATGGAATTAATTAATTTGTTTTTATTGTGTAACTATATGATCTAAAAAATGTTGAAAAAACATCTTAAAACTACTTTGTATAATTTTTTTTGTTCTGAATTGCCATAAGTTCTGCCAAAGGCCATTTGAATGCCAAACCCATTATAGTTACCGGGCACAGGATAGATCTACCCGCCATTGTTCCACGTCTTGATTTTTTTCTATAACTAATTTTAAGGAATAAAAAATAAAAGAACAGGGGAAAACAGAATGATGGTTCCGTCAATTTTGCAAAAGTATAATGAGTCCGAGTTGCAACTGATCGTTCGGGCATTACGTGACAGCTAAAATAAATAGAAAATTAAAAACCTACTTTTTACATTTCTTTCAGACCATATGTCTTGCTCTACTACAATGTTATTCATAATTCGGCTATTAAAATTCCAAGTACATATTGCAACAAGTGTGAGTATGTGAGGGTTGTTCCCCTTTGCCTTTTATTTATATTTTCTTTTCTTTAATTAAAAATGCTATTATTTTCTTTAGAAGTTTAAATGAAATCATTATTTGTAAAGATAGATATTTTTTTTCTAAAAGTGATTTGCAGCCACAGAAAGAGTAGTCTGGGCGAGATTGCTATGTAGCAATAAGGCCACCTTTTGTTTTTCTCCCAAAATTTGTTAATTTTTTGTTATTTTTATCGTCTCTTGGTGTACAGAGTATTGTGTTGAATTATATTGTGTTTTAGCAAACAAAAACAAATCTGTTTTTTTTTAGATTTATTAATTTTGTGCTAGTTAGACTTGACAGATAGAAAAAAATCGTAAGGGTTTCTTGTAATGAATACGAATCCCTAAAATGAAGTTGGCTTGAAAAATATAGTTAAGTTCGTTTTTCTTTGGCACTTTTAGTATGAATGTTTGCTTAAATTTGATAAAAGGTTCCTATTCCCTGAATTTAGTTCCCCTGGTATATGCGATAAAAGATGCAAGGAGATGTATAATTTTTTCGCAAAGCCTGTGGATTAAGCTGATCTGGTAGAACTTGGTCGTTGACAAATCCAGCCCCTCCTCGCAGAATGTGTTTAAGTGAAAGGAACATTCCTTACACTGCCTCCTTACAGGTGCCTCTGGTGAAGTTGCACCTTGTAAATTTGCAAGCGATATGCCGGTATGATATACCATTTTGAAATATTGAGACTTGATGTAGATCGTCGCTGCCAGTCCGAGTATTTTTCATCATGTATTATTATGACGTAGTTAGGCATTTTTTTGTAAAAGAGTACACAGTTATTTTAAAAAATATATTAATATATATATATATATATATAAAACTGTATAAATTCGTCATTATCATAAATTTATATTTTCTGAATAAAATCTTGAAAAGAACGTATTGCGTACTGGGACTTGCAGAGTGCTCCTTTTAATGTGGGTCCAATTGGAAAATAACTTTAGTTATAAAAGTACGATAGTAGAACTTTTCTCGCATAACGAACTATACTTGAAAACTTTGTATACAGGGCTGTGACGTAAATAGTGGTCCACCGATAAGGATTCGATAATAGATAATTTGTAATTTACAGAAAGCCATTAGTTTTTTTATTTTGTTTTCCGTTGATTACTCTGAATACTAGAGCAATCGTGGAAATGTAAATTTAGAGCGTTTGAGTAAAAAATAAGTTCGTAACCCTAACTTTTTACATATCACTCAAATTCAAGTGCGACTTATTTTAAAACATGCCTACTTTACCAATTTCCAAATAGTATCACAATAATGGGTCCTATTGCTTAGCGGAAGATAACTTTATATTAAAAGAAAGGATATTATAAAACGGATAAAATGTAACTTATAACTTTTAAAATGTGATTTCAGTTAGACAAAAACTGATTTTGAGAGCACAAACGTGTCTTTGATAAAAAAGGCCCAAACGTTTTTTTTTTATCTTAGACATGTTTGTTTGAAAATCCAAGGAAGCTCTCGCCAGTCGAGTAATACAAAATACGAGTAATAAGGAAGGGATATGGTTTACTAATGCTTACCCTTTCATTCCTAACGTTGAAATCTCTAGAAATCTTGAAATAATTTCGTACGATCTCATCACTCGTGAGTCGTATGCGTTTCGTTTTTAATTTCACCTTTTCTTATTGCATAGTGGAGCCTGTTTAATTTGCCTACTAATTGGACTTGTTGCTTTGATAGTCTCTACGATATTCGGCTATTTAAATACGTGTACTTGACTTTGACTTGCTCAACTTTTGCTTGATAAACGTGCAGTGCGGTAACGATAGGCAATGTCTCAATACACAACGCGCTTTTATGCTGACATGCATTTTGTTAACGGTGAATGCAGAGGTGTCAGTAGAGAAGCAGTCCGACTTTATCGGGAGAGATATACCAAACAAAGGCATCTTAATTATCGCGTTATAGGGAGAGTGCATCACGCGTACACCGAGGGAAGAATATCTGGCACAGATGTAGGTGGTGCAAGTGAAGAACGACGGCAAGTACACTACAATGAAGAATTACTGAATTTAGTTACTAAAGATCCTTCAACATCGGTCTGTGTCTTAAGTGGCAGAACTGGTATATCCAGTAGATCAGTACACCGATTATTCAAAAGATATAAACTGCACTGATACCACTATCAAAGGGTACAGTCGTTGCTAGCAAGAGATTATCCCTTAAGTGTATGATTAATAGAAAAGATAAAGATAAAATGATTAATAGAATAGATTTATCCTGCAAAAAAATTAATACTTAAATATACAAAATCTGCATAGTTGGCAGCTAGAACACCCGCATCAGATCTAGCTAGACAGAATCGCATCAATTTAAAATAAACCTTTAAAACGGAACAATTAACGGATAAATAATCGATCCACACGAGCTACCAGAAGCTTTAAATGCAGGTATATTTAAGTTTCAAGTGCAAATTGACTTGCCCTTGCTTCTGGGAAATATCGCTTCTGTAATCCAAGTATACATATGGCTACAGAACGATGGCTGTTCCACTCACTATTGGTGTTAGAGTGCGAGAGTACCCTAATAGAACGTATCGAAATATTTGGATTAGGCGTTTAAGTTCAACGTTGTGGCCTCCGCGCTCGTCAGACCTAAATCCCCTGAACTTATTTTATTGGGGTTATATGAAAGAAAAAGTCTACAAGAAACAAATAACAACTATTGACCAATTGAGGACTAAAATCTTCATAATTGTGTTTCAAAATGTTCGTAATTGTGTCAAAGATTATTAATAAATAATGAAAGTATTACTTGTTTTTTTTTAGTGCTTTGTTCAAATAAGTAACAATTTAAGTCTCATCACTCTGCAATAGTAGTACAAAAATTGTTATTTAAGCCTTCTGTAATTAAAATTGCAATAAATTTTTATTTTTATAAGGCTTATTAATAATAAATAATTTAAAATCGGTATTTAGGAGGCATAATTCTGAACGAATGGGCACTGAGAGTTTTATGGAATTTAAAATGTTTTGCAACAGTATGAGGCAATAAAATTCATAAACAGTCTTTAAATGAGTATGTATCTTATCTTGTTCAATTGTAACCGGATATATTTCAGTAAAACAATAGGACCCGTTATTGTGATACCATTTTGAAATTGTAATTGTGTAGGCATATTTTTTAACGAATGAGCACTGAAAGTGTAATAGCTGTAGTACTTTCTTTTTACAAAAATCGCACTTGAATTTGTATGATATGGAAAAAGTTACAATAGAGAACTTCAAAACTGAACCAAAAAAACAATATTTTTTATCATTGCTCTATTCGGCACTAATTAAAATAAATAAAAATGAAAAATAATTTTTTTAACGACCTACACCAGAAATGGTAACAAAAATACGCTTGGGTAAAAGTAGTTAAAATTATTATATGTTACAGTTAATTATCTGTTTTATCGAACCCTTATTTAAAGGTGGACCACTGCTTACGCCATAACCTATATAGAGAAATAAAATGAAATAAAAATAACGGCTACTGTGCAATGTGTATACTGTATATCAACTTTGACATTAAAATAAACAAAATCTTTGTTACATCA